GGGTGGGGGGGGGGGGAAAGTCAGTAATGGCATCTTTGTGAAAAGGGGCTAAAATTCTAAACTAATTTTCCTCTAATTCTAACTTTTGATCCCGTGGCTGGTTACTTAAGGTAGAATAGTTTGGAGAAAGAAAAGGGGAGACATCACTTGCTCATGACAACAATCACACAAAGGATGTTTCTGCTCATATCTGATAAATCCAACTGTAAACACTTCCTCTTTCCTGGCCAAACAATCCTCTTCCATCAATCAAAGACCATAATCTTCCTAAAATTCTCACCATCCTCCTCTGAATGGGAAAAAAAACCCCATTTTTTTTCTTTACCATTTTAGACAGTCACAAAAGCAAAGTAGGCTTTCGAGTTCAAGAGGGCTCACTCTTAGGGAGAATCCAACATCTAAAGCAACAGAGAGTATTTTGTAAAATATACAAGTGTACTTAGCCAAAAACCTACTTACATTTTTATACAGCTGAGGAAATCTACTTCCCAAGTAAAACACACAGGATATATAGCCACAAATGAAGCCTGACATTTCAATCATATCAAGAGAGTTCTGAAAAAGAAAAGGCACATATATTTTGGCAAGAGTGTTTTCAGGCATTTCAGAGGATTAAACTGAGAGTCCACTGGCTGATCTTCTGGACAGAACTCCTTTCAAAGCAGTTCAGTGCTGCTCTTCAAATGACCAAAGAGGGCTAGAAAGGGTTTAATCTTTATCTCACAACAATGCACACTGCTGCGTCATAGCCATGACTGAGATCAAAACTAGTGCCGGGCTTTAGGATACGACACTAGTATCAATCCAGTCCTCCTGCTAAAAAAGCCTGGGCTCAATAATTCAAACCAAAACGAAGAACTGTAGCTAGGGCCACTAAAAAAAAAGAATCATCCTGTCTGGAGAAAGCAAAATACTCATTTTTCACAGTTTAAGAGTTGTTAGTTTTCTCACTCTAGCTGTGTTTTGAAAATAAGCTGCTTCCCTGCTGGGCAATGTTGCTGGATTACAATTATTTTACTGGTGTTAGTATGAAGGCTATAAAATTGCTAGAATAGGCTGTGAAGTTTCCTGCTGAAATGACAGCAGCAGCAGGTACAATTGTTAATTTTCCACTTCTATTGATTTCACTCGTGACTCTGTAGTCTCTACATGGATGTCTACAGTATTTAACACAAGCTGAAACACAACATGTATACGTGTTATTTCACACAGCAGCACATCCTAATGACCCAAGGGACAGAAGAAGCCTGAAACGCAGGAAGCTGCTAAAAGAAGCAATTTTGTAACTTCTTTATTTTGGGATGTATGGTCCACAGTTAAAACATCCACATAGTGCGACATTTATGATTTCTAAATCATTGTTTAAAATGTCATCCAAATTTCATTCAAAGTACACAGTCTTTTCAAGATGCTTTTAGGTGGGATTTGTTTGGAACAGAAGCAGGTGAGAACTTACATTATTCCCTTCGATTACTGTACTCTGGTCTTGGTTTCTTAGTAACAGCTGACAGGGTAAAATAACACACAGTGCTATACACACCATGATCCAGGTTATGCAGAAATTCTTCAGGCTTTTGCTGCCTAGAATGACATACAAACAAATTAGCTGAAATATAACATCTGTTGTTGATTTAAAGTTACTTTTTGTTTGCAATATAAATATGTAAATTTAAAGGTACAATTTCATGTATCTTTTTCTTGGCAGCAATGTAAGTCCACCTCTTTCTTCTGGGCTCTGTGCCCACCCCTGCTCACTACCATAGTTGTGCTGTGTCTTCATGCAACAACTGAGGGTAGCAGTGCAGGAACAGGAGGGGAACTCCTTAAATGGGCATTGCTACCGAGAGAGAAAATTTTCATACTCAGCTTATCTCTTATATTAACTCCTAATAGTTTACCATTAAATAACAGCTGATAAAGAGAAAACTACTAAGTAGAATAGAATGTAACAGTTTCTTTCAGCACATCTTGATTAAAAACTGCAAAAGCAAGGATATTTGAAATTTAAATTAACAAAAATATCTTTAAGATAAATATGTAATCTAAGTGCTCTGCTGGACCAGTCTCTGTGTCCATGGTTAGCTAGATATTGAGCCTTGTCAAGACTCCCATATCCAAAGACACAGACTCCATCTAGCAAGTCTCCATAGACACCTACAAGACAACTTGAAAATGGCAGACAATCCTACAGAACTCTGGTGCTATGCTATCTTCTGTATCTACAAGATGCTGGTAAAGTCCTGCAGTCACTGTTACCAGTGGAAAAAATTGCTGTACGGCATTAGTAAGCCTGTCCTAAAGACCTGTAGTCTAAATAACACAGACTTAGTAGCGCTGTTCCACAGGCTGCACATTGAGATGCAAAACTGTCCAACTTGCCTAGGGTAACTGCTCCAGAACTGGGTATTGAAAAGCCCTCTTTAACAGCTTTAATCACAGTACCGTTCCTCCCTCTCCAGCTATGCAAACCATTGAGCTGAAACAGGCACTGGCAGTTAAAACGTACAAAAGCCTGTGTTTGTTTTCAAGAGTAGGCAGCAGGAAGGAAATATCTTCAGCACTGACCTATCTCCAGGTTTATTATCAGTTCCATATTGAATGAATCTGCTTTATCCCTATTTAGTCTGCTGGGCAGGCATCTGTTTTACTTCAGCTTTTTGTTACCTCTGCTGCACCATGGATTTTCTTTGATACTTACTTTTTTTTTTTTAGATTGATGAGTTAATGTTTTTGATTTGATACAATGTGAACAGAGCTTTCTGTCTTTCATTTCAGTCAAAACAGTAGTCCATTGGTAGGCTGAGTACTACAACTACTGTCAGGATTTTATGAAGCACAACTCAAGTAATTTCATTCCCCTTAAATATGTTTTTTAACTATATGTATTGAAACAGAGCACATGAAGATGTCAAGATATTTTATGCTATAAGCAAATAAAGTCCAGTTTCAATCAACATGGAGGAAACTAACTGAACCACACAAAGAAATAATGCTTGCTTTCAACTTATGCATATATTTAGATAGCTGTAAGTAGACAGTAAAACCATGGAGTAAGTTAAAATATGGAACCAGATTCCACAAAACTACCGCATTTTGTATGTCTATATAAACTGAAAGTACTACATGGAAAATATTTAGATATTATGTGGGTAAGAAAAGAGAAAGGCAGAAAGGCAGAGAAGAGAAAGGGCAGGATTTTCACAAGAGCCTGAGAAAACTGGAAGCAATGGGCCTAACAATGTCAACCAGAATTTGTGCACTCTATTTTTTTGATCCCTCTGAAAAAAAATTATTTAAATGCTGTAGAAAATATCAAAGTAAAGAGTGTGCTACATTATGGAGAACACTTCAATTGTTGAAAAACCTTACATTTTGTCATCTTCTGGTTCTTGAGCTTATAGTAGACAAATTGTGAAATCATAATTATATCCATGTTAACATAAAAAATGGCAGTGACAATCTGAAACAGAAGATACATTTGCTTGTTCAGTATACAAATAGTTCAAAATACCTTCACTTAACTGCATGGAAATTTTGCTTCATAATCACAATGTGAATGACAAATAGCAAAGCATTGCCAAAAAAAAAAAAAAAAAAAAAAAAAAAAAAAAAAAAAAAAAAAAAAAAAAAAAAAAAAAAAAAAAAAAAAAAAAAAAAAAAAAAAAAAAAAAAAAAAAAAAAAAAAAAAAAAAAAAAAAAAAAAAAAAAAAAAAAAAAAAAAAAAAAAAAAAAAAAAAAAAAAAAAAAAAAAAAAAAAAAAAAAAAAAAAAAAAAAAAAAAAAAAAAAAAAAAAAAAAAAAAAAAAAAAAAAAAAAAAAAAAAAAAAAAAAAAAAAAAAAAAAAAAAAAAAAAAAAAAAAAAAAAAAAAAAAAAAAAAAAAAAAAAAAAAAAAAAAAAAAAAAAAAAAAAAAAAAAAAAAAAAAAAAAAAAAAAAAAAAAAAAAAAAAAAAAAAAAAAAACAAACCAGAAAGCCATTTCCAGTACAAAACAAGTTAGACTGCTGCAGATGAATACAGTGTAAACCTTATGCAACAGGGACTTGCTGACACAATCGCAATAGCTGGTCTTTTTTCAGGATGCATCACACAAATTCCTACCTGGACAGACTGATAAATCCTTCCTGCCCAGAAGCTTAAGTCCGTTCCACCTAGTTTCCCAGCATTTCAGAAGCTACTAATCTTACTCAGTGCCTCTTCCCTCAATAAGACAAAACCGACATTCTCTCTTCCCCTTTTCGTAATGGGGAGATGGAATAGTTAGTGCCACATGTTAAGCTGTAAAAGAGAAGACAACTCTGTCCACCCTTGGGTCCATCTCCAGCTTGTAAAAAAATTCTGCAGGTGGCTGACACATACCTCTTTCCCTTTTAATTAAGAGTCAAAAATAAAAACCGCAGATAAGAAAGTATTGGACAATTAATGTATTGCTGAAAATGACTGTTCCTTTCAGAGAAACCCTCCCATTAACAAAGAAAATATCTTTTCAAATTAGTCAGACATTAACAGCTTTGAACCAGCATTTCCCTGTTAATAAACAGTTTTCTTAAAAAAAAAAAAAAAACACAACCAAAAAAACCCCCCAAAAAACAAGAGGAAGTTTAAAGAGTAGCTGCCCCAAAACAGCTTCATCTATTACAAGCTAAACAACACAACTTCCTTCCAGCCCCTTCCAGCCCTATTTGCTCTGCAAGCTTACTTTGATGCTGAAGCTCAAATGAAAATTCCCCACTTCATTCATCATTGAGTAACACCCAGTAAGTTTCTTTGAATGTTAATTGTAAGTGTGAAATGGTTCCTATAACACATAATAGTATCAATGTAAGTATTTGGGAAATTATGACTTATTTTATAGATGGTAGATCAGTGAACAGAATACAAAACTACTTCACTGTGCAATATTAAGTTATCCTAGAGTTTAAAGAGACAGTTTGAAAAGGAGAAATCAAAAAGTAGGAATATCGACAGATTACCTGAATTGGCAGTTGATTTGTTAAATAGCAGCCTACGAAATTTGTAAGGTCTCCAGCTATCCAACACAGCAGAAAGCCCAAAGACAGCGCTTGATCCACTCTTCCATTCTGACAGGCAATGTAAATTTGACTGGCACAAATTCCAGAAGTAATTGTAAAATAGTGTAAGCAAAAAATGTTTAATAAGCTCAGAAGTACATTTTTCAAAATCTGAATAAAGAAAGATTAAAACTCTAACCACAAGAGACCTATCACAGCAATACTCCACTTACCTTTTGAAGAAAAACTCAGTATCGCTATAGCTCAAATTACAACCTCCCTACTGCTTGCATGTGCTCCTTTTTTGTGGCCTGCACTGACATACCATTTTCTGGACACCAGAACTATGCCATAAGCATTTTATATTCATCTGCTGTAAATACCAGCCTTTAAAATACTGAAATAAGAAAAAGTTATTTAACATAGAAGGGCTAAGAATGGACAAAGCTTCTAAAAGAGCTGACAACTACACTTAAGCCTCTAAATTGGAGAACTGTTATTCAGATTCACAACAGGGACTATGAAGCAATCCCAAAGTGAGTCCATTAGACATATCTTGATGAATTCCATGCTCACTAATATGACAGTTTTAATGTAAAGCCCCCTTTCAACTAATATTTCAACTAATATTTCTGAAGTTCAACAGCTTACTAAGAGTGGTTTTATTTTGCTTGATTTCCATAGGCCTTTTACTAGTTCAGTAAATTATATCCCCCTTATGGGGACAGACTTTGGAGTCAATCCCATTTTGTTTCAGGTATTTTCACCTGCTGGGGGCATTTCTACTTTTTCTTTGTCATCTTCTACCTATGTATTTGAAACCTGAAGCCAGTGCCAGTGACCAAACAGCAACTGATTTAGCACTACTGAAGTGCTAACTCATGTGCTGTTTCTGACCTTTCCTCAGTCCAAATTTCATTGGCAGGAGCCAGCACAACAGTATTGGTGACATAGCATGTGGCTTAAATAAACACTGAGCCAGCTTCTGCTGCAAGTGTGCCTGCGTGTGTGCACACATCTCAGGGTAGAGAAGATAAGAGAGAAGAGGTGATTTATTCTCATTTGCTCTAAGTGGCAGAGATTAGTGTCAAGTCAGTACAACAGAACAGTACATCAAGCTCATTTGTCAACCACCAAATATTGTTGCAAACATGAACAACATGCTTCTCTGGCATATTATATCTGTATTATGCAGATAGAGAAACATATCCAAGATAAAATAAAAAAAAGGCAGCTTTTGAAAAAGGCTTCAGGCAAGATTACTCATGTTTGAATCTGAGGACTGCTTAAGACTTTAAACTTACGGTAGTGCAGCAAACAGAAAACAGACAATAGAAATCAGTCCTATGACAACGCTCCAATACTCCCACGCGTTCTCGACACATTCTTCTAGGAGATGCCAAATCCATGGTGTTCCATTTATGCACAATCTCCTCTTCTCTATTGGGGGGATATTTAAAGCATGTGTATACAGCTGAGAAGCCATCATTCCTGGACCGAGATTCAATTTCCGAAGTTTATTTCTGCCTCCATTTTTACCCCATGCAAATCCGCAAATCCGTTTACCAATGCTGAATATCTTCTGTGAAAAGACCTCTGCATCCAGACGGATGCTTGATATCACAGTTATTTCCAATCTCATAAACGAACCTGCCAAATTCAAAGAAATAAATATAGCCAGTGTGAATAAGACATTAACCGTACAATGCTTGCTTATATTTATTGCTTACAGAAGAAAAGTTAGACTTCCAAGAAAGAAAAATACTTTGTGGTCCATTGCATTCATTAGCTCTTGACAAATATGCAACACTACAGATTTATATCACTATAGCATTTTAGTCTGAGGTTATGTTAGACTGAGACTGCCAGTTACACTGAGGTGCCAGCAATCTGCTACAAGGTAAAGTAAACCGGCAATTTATTTGCACCTAAGATGAAAACTCTGATTTTCATGTTCAACATTATGCCAATAAAGTAACAGTGCTTTCTTTAATGGTACTAGCCCAGATTCTGAACACTCTACACTTACAAAACATAAGTATAATGTTGCTTTCTATGCAACTAATTTCAGGATAATGTTATGAAAAAGAAGTCACTTATGACTCAGATTCCAGACAAGCTCTAAGGTCCACTTGAATCTAGCTAGCTCATCAGACTAACTAGTGATTTAACATAGTGTCAAACAGTTTGTGTTATTTAATACTCCAGAGCAAAGACAGAAAACGTAAGAAACTTACACAAGGCAAATGTAGGGTACTCCCACTTCCAAAATCCCCAGAATGAAACATAATGGTACAACGTGGCTTAAATTTTGAAGCAAGGGAGGGTTGGGTTTGACCTTTAAAATTATTTTCTTGCAGCCAATTATAATAATTCTGGATATTTTTTGTTCCTGCTGAAATAGCCATCCTGTTTGAAATTTTAATATTTACTTAGAAGGATAACCATTACAAAATTGAAGAAAATTTTAACAAAAATGCAGAATTATCTATTACTAGTCCTTGAAACTTCCTGCTGACAAAAACCAGCTGATTTCCCACTCATTCTGATGATAATTTTATTCCTCTGAAGGTTAATAATTCCTCATACAGAGGAGTCTTAAATCAACTAGCTATTAAGGAAAAAAGCCAGAGCAAATGCACTGTTTAAAAAAAACCCAAACAACAAAATAAGTACTATACTAGTAGGTTCACCTGTTTAGTACTTAAAGCCAGATGTAGAACCAGTAAGATGGTGAAAAATTCTAAGACCATTTGGAACATCTCAGATACACAGTAAATTCAGAAAACAGGAAGAAGTAATACTGCGATATAAGAGCATCCCTCTAGAAGTGAATAAAGTTATTTAATATCTCACAGACAACAGTCCCCAAAGGCCCGATGTTTGTGGCTGGGATTTTTTATGTTCTTCACTCCGCACACATGGGGACAGGGCTTGGAAGGGCTGACAATATACCCTTTCTGCAATGTAACAGGTTGGAGCCACCCTCATTATGCATCAAACTACTTTCAAATCTTGATAAAGTTTCACAAAGTTTACAGTGAACGATGCTCTATGAAAATAAAGTTAGGACTCACTTTGCTAGTCATTGAGAAACCTGCTTTTTCTTTTCATGAGACTTCAGGTATCTATGATGTTAAATGCTGGAACAACTTTTCTGCAGAAACTGGCTGCCTCTCAAGAGAACTGTCATCATTGGACCTAAACCAATTAAACGATAGAAAAAGAACATGTATTCATACACTGAGAATTTACCTTAGCCTATTAGATACATTCAGCTTATACTGGTGAAGTTATTAGACTTCATAGCCATCTTTGACAATAATTTTTAAAGTTGAAAAGAAGTTGTGAGTAATGTTTCAGGTAAGCTTTCCTATTCTGGTACTCTGCGGCTGAGCAGGGTTTTACCACCTACTAAAAAGGGAGAAACATCGAAGCACACATACTACTTAGGCAGCTTTTAGGCATGAACTTTCAACCATTCATAAACATTGTAACAAAAATCTTACACATTTTATTAAGCTTCGTCTCAAAATGCCCATTTAAAGATAAGCAAAATGTGTCAGATTAAAAAAAAAAAAAAGATTGAACATGGTATTTTAAAACCATGTCTGAAAAATTAGGTTTAACATGGTATTTAAAACCACGTCTGAATATCATAACTGCAGTTGGACTCACGCATGCAAAAGTTCTCTTATAAGATCAAGGACTATGTGGTAGCAAGTCTAAACAAGGCAATTCAGATGCAACCACCTGATCTTATGCTATACCCTGCTCCAAAACCCTGCAGCTATTACGGAAAGCCAAATAGTTTAAAAAGTGGTAGGAATTAGACAGGCCACTTACACTTCCCAGATGACTGAAGACTTGCGCTTTGGCCTCCTGCCACACAACACACTTCGCACATTTAAAGCATGTGGATATTCTTGGGTTATTATTACTTGACATTTATGCAGCAGAATAATGTCCATGTTGCCAGTCCTTGTGACTGTATTTTTAATCTTACAATAATTGCTATTTTACTTAAATCCTCAGCAAAATACTCTGTCCCAGTAAGAGCCCTACCACCAAAACCAACAATTCCACCAGTGCCTAGCACAACTGGAAGCCATCAACTAAACATATCGGCCACAAAACCTGAACTCCTCCTGCCATTGCAGGAAGGCAAAAGGCAATGGTGTCAGTGTTTGATCTTCAGTTATTTTCACACCTGGACTGGGTGTGCCACATTAGGATACAGCCTTCACCGAATAAGCTATGTCTTCTGACACAACTATTTTATAACTATGTTTTGAGCTCAAAAGAATAATGGTGTTTGAGCTGGACTGATCCAGACGGTTCCCTCCCCAGATATATAGAGTCTTGCATAGATATACAGTCTTGCATTGAATTTTTCCTCAACATTTAAAAAAAACTTTTACTTTTCTGTTGTTGCATTAAATGCTTTCCACCTGAAAACAGGATAAGGAGATTGCTATGACATTTCTTTTCTTCCTATAGTATTTAAGTTGTCAATGATGAGAAAGGAAAATAATATTAAAAGGTGATTTATGTTGCTGTAACAATTCCTTGCCTGTAACCTCATATTCTTTCTTAGAGTACTGCCCAAATACTAGTTACTACCATTTGGAAAAATTACAGTAAAGGTATTATTTTCACAGAACAGTTAACTTGGAACCTTGACACCATACCTTTCTGAAAAGATTTAGTGTTTGCCTAGCTAGAAATAAAACCGTTATGGTGTAAGGTATTTAGTAATAAGGAATCAGTAGCTTGAGACTCCTGTTTGGACACTTTTTCTTATTTTAATCCCTTATTTCGGAGTAAAAACGCGCAAACAGAAATAGTCAATGGCTTAAAAGTGAAATCCACTTCATTAAGAATAGCTTCACAGCGCAGACGAGGAAAAGCAAGCTTTCCCTGGAACTTGGGAGACTTGCCACAGATTCTCTGCCTCTCCAACTGCCAAGCTGCCGTGAACATCCATGTGTTCTGGCTGCTGTGTGTTCCTGGATGTCAAATAACGAGACACTGCTAGTAATGTGTAAAGATGTCAGATATGTGTATTTGGCAGATTTGCAAGTTCTCTAAATAGCAGCTAATAACAGCTTGAAATCCAAAAGGATGTTGAGTTGTACAGTATTCATAATTTAATTACTCCTGGGGAAAAAAAAAAAAAGTGGAGCTAAGCTAAGGAGTAATTCAGGGCTTCTGAAACACTTCCCAATATTAACCCGGTCATCATATTTTGTCTCCAGCTATTCTCTAAACACATTTTTATACAATCCCGATTGTGAATGCTGCCTCTGAATTCATAGCTGATGATAAAGCATGACGGAATTTTACCTAGAAACCAAGCCCAGTTCTCACAGAACACTTTCAACTTAGCTTGGAAAAAAAAACCCAAACCATAAGGAAGCGCCTTTCTTCAGGAGAGTCCAGCAGGCACCACAGCCCAAAAGCCCCCGGGGGAGCACCACCCCTTTCGGGAAGGTGGGTCCAAGAGGCGGCAGCAGTTTCATGGCTTTCTGCAAACCCTGGGTGCCCCGGCAGGCCTGTCCCCCGCACCCCAGACGGTGACAGTACTTGGTCATCAGAGGAGAAACGGGAAAGGGGAAGGAAAAGTTAAAGGAATAATAATTAAGAATGACTTTAAGAAAGGACAGCGGCTCTCTGGTTCCACGCACATGGCAAAGCGTGCTCGGCAGGGCGGGGGCTGTCGAGGGCCGCAGCCCCGGGAGACCAGGGCGGGCCTGTCTGGGGAGGCGAAGGCGCCCCCGAGCGGGGCAGGCACCGGCCGGGCCAGGGCTGCTGCTGCTCCGGGGATCCGGGGGGGCGCGGCGGGCCCGCCCGGCGCCGCACACCTCTCCCCGCGCCGC